AATCTCTGCACAATTCAAACTTGACTTCAAAAAGGACTAATCTACTATTCAACAATAATCTACCAACATGGTCATATGATGCACTGCACAGGCTCTCTGTTATATTTTCCCACTTTCTATGTTCTAAATATTTCAGCTTAGACACATGATAACCTCCCAGGAAACTTGGTGAAATATCAGTTGATTATTTTCACACATCTTGTATATCTGCTGGAGAAAATATGATGGGATTAAACCTCTTCTCACAGTATTTATGTCATGTCAGTTCATGGTGACAGAAGGAGCAAAGTCTGTATCTGACATGTAAACAAAGTTGTTGGCTTAGCCAGACACGACCAGATGTTTTATCGTAAATTGACTTTTATGACTCCTATTAAAAATAGATTAATATGGTTATAGCATTTGATAACAGGTGTTTATGATTCTCAGAGCAACAAAGTAGGCCTAAGTGTTTTATTCTACCAGGAGGAGTTATGATGCCAAAGTGCGTAAATGACTGAGGAATCAGATGCTTTATTGGCAGCCCATGTTGCATCAATATAAAATGAGACATAGCAAAGCTCAGCCGACTTTTTTCTTCTTCTTTTGAGTCGTGTTTTAATGATAGAAAGATGAGGAGGTTGATGTACCTGTACCACTCCAGCCCCTTGTCGTAGTTGCGGTCGAAGAAGTGTGGCTCCGCTCCCACCGCTCTGATGTCCGGATGCAGGCGCAGAAACTCCAGCAGCGCCCGGGTCCCTCCTTTCTTCACCCCGATGATAATCGCCTGCGGCAACTTCTTACTTTCCGACTCATTGAAGAAACCTGACATGGCATTATCATCCAACGCCTTCGCCTCGCCTTTAATTTCATCCCAGTCCTCTCCTCTGCTGTCCAAATCGTTCTCGTTATTCAGTAAGTCCCTGGACGCTCCGAGAGAGGACTCCTGATTGTCAACTTCTGCGTCGTTTGTGTGTCTGTTCAGCGAGCCCAGCGCCACGTTCGGCATCGTGGAGCAGTAGCCAACACAACAATAAATCATATACACCCAAAGGGTCAGCATTATGCAGAACACAAAGAGTTTGTTTTTCACGTGGGATGATGGCACAACATGTAGACTGTGTAAAATCGGACTATATTCCATAGGAACGCCGTGAAAAAGTTATATTCCAGCTAACAGGCATTTTGGCAAATGCGTCTCACTCCTCTGCCATGACGGAAATCCTTCAGACAGATTATAGCCAATATTGACACTGATATTGAAGTGTACATCGGACGTTCACCTCCTTCTGCCAATCCAATTCTGCTCCAAACAAGATAGTAATAATTTTCTCTAAAGGTGAATCAAAAATCTGAAATAAAAAAGAAAACCAGACAACAACAAAAAAATGTTATGAAAATATCGCCAGGTGAGCGACACGCGCTTCAAGGACGCAGTTTGTCTCCCATCACTTGCTCTCAGTGTGTGAGCGCTCCCACAGCTCCACCACCAACTTATCTACGCCCGGCAACAGCGTCAAGCCCGTCAGAAGACGGAGGAGAACACTTCCGCTAGAGCCCTTCAAAGTAAACAAAACAACTCTCATAATAAAATTGTTTTTTGAATTCTGGCAAATTAATATTGATCATCCGCTTAACCCCACCAATTTTTTTTTTTACATTTACTGTTTGCCATATCCTAATCTTTTCCCCACACACGTTGGTTATTGTTGGCTAATATTATTTTTTATTATATATATTATTATATATATATATATATATATATATATATATATATATATATTTTTTTTTTTTTGTGTTCACGTGTATTCCAGTGTCAGGCACCAGCATGCAAACAAGTGACATGACATAAAAGTATTGTGTCATAGATCAGCTGTGTCTTTAACAGGGTCACACTTTAACTGGCTGTTGATTTCCATCTATTGTATTTTATTGGTTTCTTGCCATGTGTATTTTATTGACCTACTGTATTTGTACTTTATTGTTTTTCTCTCAGTATGTTTATGGTTGTCAGCCAACAACAGGAAAGTTACCTTAAACAATAAACCTGATCCTGATTCGGTTTCTGAGGCCTGTATAGAGTGGATACCATAGCATGGCTACTGCAATGCCCCTCATTGATATGAGATGTAGTAGATGTAGTTTATTAATAATAATATGTTGCCAAATCCATCAGTTAATCAGGGCTACAATTGTGTACACCTGTTGTTAGCTTTGGTCTATTGATTGTATAAACCTAGTCTTTTTCAAAACATGCTTTAAAAATGTGCTTCTTTGTAATGAGTTTTATTTTGAAAGCTCTAAAGGTTCCGGTCTTGATTTGCCTGTTTCCACTTTGACGCAGATGTCAGGTGCTGTTCTCTGACACCTACCTCACGGCAGAGGTCTCAGGCTTTAAAACAATACAATAAATAAGTCATCAGTGTTCTTCCTGCTGCTATTGTTTACTTTTTTGGTCATAAAGAGATATTTTAATTAATTTCAGCCTGTTTCATTACCGGTTAAAAAGTCCTCACAGGGGCCTTAATTACCCACGTTTTTATGAGCAATCTTTGCTTCAACACATTCCTGACTTTTGTTTGTTTGTTGTAAGAATAAGAATCATTCTGCAGAAATTTAACAGACATATAACAAATAAATTAGGGCTGTCAGCATTAACTAGTTAATTGTTATTAATTAAGATCTTAAATGAGTCCATTCCTTTTTTAATTGGGGTTAATCGCATGCTATCTTGTCCCTTTGGGTGCACCGTGGATACGGCTCCGCTGTGTCTCCCTGTAGTCACAGTGATGTAAAAGAATGGAACTACTGCATCTTTAAATGTCTCATTTACTTATAAAAACTCTCCCACATCAAACATTTCACCTTTTTACTGTTCCTTTAAACTGTTTTCATTTCATTTAGATTTAGAATGTCGTAACATTCAATCTACCAGAAGGACTCTCAGTTTAAGACTGTACAAAAATTCAAAATAAAAGCCGAACAGTTTTTATTTTGAAATGCAAAATAATGGAATTTCAACCATGCAATATAAATGTGATTAATCATGATTACAAATTTTAGCCCTAAATTAAATACATAAATAGATTCTTGAAAACAGAATGTAAAAGTCATGCTAGTCATGAATTGTACGTAACAGAGTTTGCTTGATAACTTTGAAATGCTTTGGCCTATCTGTTTGTATTTTTACAACCCAACACGTACACTTGTCATGTGATCTGTACTCAAAAGTCAGCTACCAGCAGGTAAACAGGTGACGTGACATACCTGTGTCATGGACCAGCTGTGTCTTTAATCAGCTACGTCACACTTTTCCCGATACTGTGGGGAAAATGATCCAGTTAGTCGGAGTTAATTGGCCTCATAATCTTTCCTAATTACTGCTGTAATTATTCAAAACAAGGTGAACACACTGTCCTACATAAACAAATGTTATCGGAGTGAGTTCAGGGATCCATAAACGTTAATCATTCACTGCAATGACGGGGAGTGGTGGTGAAGCCACTGGAAAGTTTCTGTCCTGATGAAGATATGTGACTGTGAATTCTCAAATGACTTTAAACATTTGGTGTGTGGGCATGTGTGTGCGGTGGCACCTTCTCTTGATGTGGGGTCAAAGGCCCCCCAGTCCCACCGCACCCCTGAGTTAGCAGAGGATTAGCAGGATTACCCCAGAGCAGCCATGTCAGTCAGAGTTTCACCAGAGACAACCCTGCCCCCTCCATGTATAAGCCCCTTATCTCATCTCTCAGACACCTCTCTATATGATACACATACCTGTGTGTGAGTGTGTATGTGTGTGTGTTTTTTCTAATCCCAATGGTTGAATTTCCACACTTCATGAGCAGAAGATAACCTGTTTGGGAAACTGTGTGCGTCCCAGGGTTTGGTCCAAGCAACACAGTCACATGGTTTGCCCTCTCTGCTCTGTGTACACTTCATGTTTGTCTTTGCACTGTGGACTTGTAACTCTCTTAGAGGGAGTTGAATGGCTGAGTTCAAGTATTGTTCAAGTATTCACTTTATATTTACTCTTTAAGTCCATAAAAACGTCTTGGAACTTGAGCAATTACATAGCATTTTACAAGAGGTCATACCTACTTATGGATTGTCTTCCAAAAAACTTGATTCCACACGCAGAGATCCCAGAGTGAAGAAAAATATCAGTTAATAAAACTATCAGGAAACCAGTACATGTGTACTTGGAAAGAGTTACAATGTGTTTGTCTAACCTTGGCGTTTCTTCTGACAAAGTATTAGTCACAACCAAAGTTTTTCCTGCTAATTCAGTCAGTTCTTGCCAAATGTAAACACACTGGAACACTGTGATGGAGGGCAGCCAGATGAACAGAGTAATACATATAGAAGCTGTATGGTCTTCTTAAAGGAATGCATAATATTGTTTCTGGAGATGTCGGACTCATGGAAGAACCTTAAATTTAAGTCTGACCAATGATTTGCATTAGGTTTCATTAGGCAGGACACGCGCAGCAGTAATCAGCTAACAGCCAGCTGATTGAATTGTTGCTTCTAATCACACACACACACACACACACACACACACACACACACACACACACACACACACACACACACACACACACACACACACACACACACACACACACACACACACACACATCTCATTCTCACATCAAGGCGGTCCATTTAAACACAACCTCTGTCTCACTGATCTTTGCTACACCAATGCTGCACAAACTCAGCTTTGCGTCCCAGCCATGTCTGCAACCTTACGAGCAGAGCCTTCAACGCCAAGCAAAACTGTATTTGCATTTTTGCGATAAAATGGTTAAATTTATGAGCGTGTTCCTGACTGAAATGTGTAATGTGAAATCTTTCCACACTAAAATGGCTTAAAACCTAAAGTATGTTATAAATTCTGTTCGGGGGTCGTGTACTTTATGTATACTTTATTATGGTATGGGCATAAATATTATCTTCAATGTCTCCAGACCCACAGAAATATTTTATTCTTTTCATGTTAATGGATGAAGAAAGTAGGCAAACTGTTTTGCCAGCTAATATACCTGCAGCTATTTCCATCAATCATTTAGTCCATTCATTATTTATTTTTTTAGCACCATTAAAGTATGTTCCCTTGGGACACCTAACGTAAAGTGCAGGTCTAGATTATACTCTTTTTATAAACAGATATCCACCATGAGCATAGTGCTAAGCAACATTTAGCAAAGTAACAGTGGTAAGGAAAGACTTCCTTTTAACAGGCAGAAACCTCGAGCAGACCAGACTCATGTTGAACAGCCGTCTGCAGAAACTGTGTTAAGCTTGGAAAGTGGGACAGAGGGAGATGGGAGAAAGAGATTGGCAGATACAAACAAACAGAGCAACAACAATAACACCCGCTAATACAAGCTTATTGCTACTAGCTGTATGTCAACCTGGTTGTAATCTACAGGTCTAAAATTAGCATTTACAATTATGTGGATGATAATAGGGGGACCAAGCAGCAGGGGCGATTCTAGAGTCTGTTGGGGCCCTAAGCAAAATTCACTGGGGGGCCCCTCCAACTAGCATTCATTGCCATTATGTTCAAAATTAATCTGATACCAATGGCAACTTTAAGTGACACCTTTAAGTTTTCACAGGAAAGCCGTGCAACCACAGTGAGTCCTGTCAGATGGGACCACCTTAGGGAGTTTTTCTACTGCAGATCCACGAGTGTCCACTTGAGGCTGGCTCAAGAAGTGCACATACACACCCGACATCAGAAATTGACATAATAACAGCGTGGTACAAAAACACATTTGGTCTGAAAAGTTTATGTCTTTATCAGCACAAACAGATTTTGTATAACTTATTGGTTATCTCTTTTTTTTCAAAGATAAGTATTATGCATAAATAGTGGCGTGACTGATGTGACAGCAAGCGGGCGAGTTGTAGGCTTAAAGAATGACTCCAAGTATCCACATTTAGAAAAGAAAGATCAAGGACCATATCTTTCCCCTTTCCTGAGGTTTCAGGTTCATCTGCATGGAGGGGATTGACGGACTTCAAAGTAAAGCATGGTGAAGGTAGGACATAGGACAAAGAGTGAGAACAAAAAGACATCTGAGGGAGCATACAAACACAAACATACATTACACAATCTCACAAGCACCTAGACACCATTTTTTCAGAGCTCCGTAAAATAGTATGTGCTGATTCGTTCTTCTGTTATGCTTCACGATGCACCTCACACACACACAGGCACACACACACTTACACACACACACAACCGTCTGCCCTCTGTGTCATCTCACGAGGACTCTGGAGAAGTACACCGGACACTCTAAAGGGAGTGTTTGACTTGTTTTTCACATCCTCAATACGATTACATTTGCTGAACCATGTTAACACTCTTCTTCTGCAGCCTAAACAGATGACATAAACAGCACTCAGCTCATACATGAAAGCCAGACTAATGAAACCCTGCAAAAGGACACACACACACACACACACA